CATGATTTAACTAAATGGAAAAGATCTGTGCTGGCAACTCCAACTTCCCAATGACCCAAAGTCTCCTTCGTGTTATAGGAATGTGCTACTTAATGAAGTTTGTTGATTACTTTTTGCTGTTGGTTTCTTAGAAAGCAAATCACTTAGCAGCTAGCAACTCCAAACCTGTACAAGTCACTTTTAAAGGCTCCGCAAACATAATTGGGCTGTTCATTTTAAGAAGTCACTAATCTTGTCATTTCATTTTTTATACCTCTTACAGATTTAATTCACTTCAAACGCACAGGCATTTAACAAATGATTCTTGATGACATTAGGGGTGTAACATCATAACACCCAGTGCTCAACAGGCATTCCCTGCATATTGCTAAGCATGATAGTGTCATCTCTTTTTTAAAAAAATATTTATTTTATTATTTTTATTTTATGTGTATGAGTGTATTGTCTGCATGTAGGTAAGTGCACCCATGTCGTGCAATGTCTGCAGAGGTCAGAACTGGAACTGGAGTTACGAGTGGTTGTTAGCCACCATGTGGGTGCTGGGAATGGAACCAGGGGTCCTCTGGAAGAGCAGTCAGTGCTCTTAACTGCTGAGCATCTCTCAGCCCCACGATAGTGTCATCTCATACAGTGCTCTTAATGCAACGGGAACCTGCTCTCAGCACTCTCCTTCCATGAAGAAGGGAACTGAGTTAAGGTGAGCCGCTTGCTCGAGGATGTGCAACTGATCACTGCAGGAATGAGTACTTAATCCCAGATGGTCACACTCCTGAGCAGTGGAAAGGGGATATCCCTTGTCCAGCAGAACCCCTCACACAGGAACCAACCAGGGCCTGCTTAATGAAGCATCTTGTCTGTGGCATCTCCACTAGTCCCAGATGGACCTGGGAAACCATCTCCTGATTCCCTATTGGCACATTCCCATTATAAAACGGGACTCATTTTTCTTCTACCCACTGAGCTGGTTCAAACCTCTGCTATACACCAACCAATGTAAGCACATACCAGAAGCACCGGAATACGGCTCTTTGGGACATTCCTGCAAGACACTTTGAGGCGCCAAGAGTTTGTGGAAAGTAATAATAGAGGATGTTGGATGGGTGGAAAATATGGAGATGCTTGGAAAAATCAGTCCAGAAGCAGGAACTGAGTGGTAGAGCCTGTCTGAGTGGACAGGAGCCTTGTCTCTAACATGGTGCTGACTCATCGTGCACACAGAGTGAAGAGTAGGGCAGTGACTGACCCACATCACATTTATGATTCTTCTCAAAATGTCGAAATTATTTTACACTTTAAAACTAAGGAGCCAGGCATGGTAGCGCATGCCTTTAGTCCCAGCACTCGGGAGGCAGAGGCAGGCGGATCTCTGTGAGTTCAAGGCCAGCTGGTCTACATAGTGAGTTCCAGGTCAGCTGCGGCTACAGGGAGACCCTGTCTCAGAAAAGACCAAAAAAAAAAGAAGAAAGGAAAACTTGTAATGTGCAAACCGTAATGTTAAATTATACACTGCTTTGTTGGAGTGCTACAATAGTAGATCTTCTGGCAAGTGAAATAACACATAAAGACTCTGTTATGGGCTGGGCATGGTGGCGCATGCCTTTAATTTCAGCACTCGGGAGGCAGAGGCAGGCAGATCTCTGAGTTCTAGGCCAACCTGGTCTACACAGTGAGTTGTATTATTTAATTTTCATTTTATTTTTTTTGAGACAGGGTCTCATGTAAATGAGGCTAGACTTAAATGCTCTGGCTATGCCTTTGTTTTTCTCGAATGCCCCACAAATGGGTCCAAAGAGAGTGTGCTGGCTGCTCGTTCTGAGAACTGGACCTGTAGAGCCCTCACCACCTGCCTTCTCTTAAGCCTCCCTGCCCTGCCCTGCCCTTACTAGGAACATTATTCCTCCCAAAGGACTTGGTTCAAGTTTTGCTTCCCTTGTGCTGGTTAGATGACCTCAGACATCTTCCTAACACTCTCCTAATACTTGCTGTACTTTTTTGACCTCTCTGTAAAACTGGGATGATTAGATTGGGGATAAAAGCTAAATGAAATAGGGTGCTTTGAGAGGGTTCTATAGATGGAGGGATTTCATACCTCTGAAGAGATAGCGGTGTGAGTCTTCTACATCAGCATGTAGCATTTCTGCTGCTGGCTATGCCTTCGTTTTTCTCGAATGCCCCACAAATGGGTCCGAAGAGAGTGTGCTGGCTGCTGTTCTGAGAACTGGACCTGTAGAGCCCTCACCACCTGCCTTCTCTTAAGCCTCCCTGCCCTGCCCTGCCCTTACTAGGAACATTATTCCTCCCAAAGG